TGAAAATTTCTGTCGTCTCTGAATACATTAAAGGCATTTCCAAAGATTTCTTCACTTTTTACGCTTTCGTCCCAGCTTGTTTCAGTTGCCAGAATGACCGAAAAGGATGAGCATAATAAATGTTGATAAATTTCCTTCATTTTAGCTGGGCTTTTCATGCGATTGAAATTTTGACAATAAATCAAAATTTCAGTCGCATTCTGTCTGTGTTAGGAAATTGTTGGAAATACGTCGGTTGATAAAGTATGGTCATTGTTATTATTAGTTACCTCAGTCTCATGCCGAGCATCGTTATATAGAAATAATGAGTCTTCCTCAAGGTGCGTCAGCGGCGTTGAAAATTTACAGGATTGTAAAATTTGAGGGCGGCCTCCCTAGTAGATTGTAGCCGTTGCGTGCGTTCACTGGACAGGAATGTACGGTAGGATTGCAGGTATGCCAAGGCGTCGTTTCGAGTAATTCCAAGTTCTTCATGGACGTCCAGGAAAATTTCGTGCAGGAGATTTCTGTCTTTTGGTAGTCCTTCAGCTGCTAGCATTAGAATAGCACTGGTTTTGGTGATTCCGCGAATACATGTTGATGATGGCTGGTCATGCAGGAAGGAGAGGTAGGTCCGAACAATGTCCATAATTTTCGGGTCCCTTAGACGCGCCTTCAGGAAGCGTTGGTCGCCAGTTACGGACTGTTCAGTAAGTCTCACTATTGGCGGACGCATGGGGTCCAGAAGAGGAGGGTGTTCTCGCTCAGTTGGTTTTTCAGTTCGATAAGGGTTAATAGTTTCCCCTTTTTCGAAATTAATGAAATTTAGTCCGCTTTCTTTGGGTGGCCGAGAAAATTGTATTCGTGCAGCAGCCAAAAGTTCTTTATCCAAAGGTAATGCAGTGCTGTTGTAGAGATGGCTGCTTCGGGTCCTGTTGTTGTTGATGTTGTTGTTATTGCTGTTGTTGTTGTTATTGTTGTTGTTGTAGTTGTTGTTGTTGCTGTTGTTGTTGCTGTTGTTGTTGCTGTTGTTGTTATTGTTGTTGTTGTAGTTGTTGTTGTTGCTGTTGTTGTTGCTGTTGTTGTTGCTGTTGTTGTTGTTGTTGTTGTTGTTTTTGTTGTTGTTGTTGTTGTTGTTGTTGTTGTTGTTGTTGTTGTTGTTGTTGTTGTTGTTGTTGTTGTTATTGCTGCAATTGCCAATAGTGTAGTTGTTACTGCCGCTGTTTTTGTTGGTATTGTTGTGGGGGTTGTTACCTTGTTTCTTTTCTCGTTTTTTGCGCCTAAGTCTGGCTTTTTCCTCGTTTTTTTCCTGGAGACGGCGGGAATGTTGCTTGGCGTCATATTCTGTCCAGTCACGCTTCCATACTTTTTTATTTCCCAAGATTCGCCAGCTGAGGGCTGGTTCGTCAATTGTGTAATTCTTGGAAATGATGACGGCTGGTGTTGAAAGAGATTTAACATATTCAATATATAATAACTTATTTCAGGATTTCTTGCTAAAATTTTCCCATCGCGAATATATTTGCGATCAATCATATAAATTCGAGATTGTTCTGCTTTTTTCTAGCGTCCTGGAGAAAACCTTACCTTAAATTCGAAATTTTTCTGGTTAATTGACAAGGTCATTACGAGAATTTGTATGCACCACTTCAATACTGTTACGCATTTGACCACAAACGTTTGGTTGCTGGGTACATTATCAAAGAATTTTTTAGAGGTGATGTGGCTGGCAGCAAGGTGAGCGAAAGTTCAATGAAAATTAACACTTAAACAATAATAATTTATGGTGGTCCTGAAAAGAACCGTTTTGTCATGATGGTTGAGCAATGCTGAGGGTGTTCAAGACAGATGAGGCTGGTGAGTTGTATCTTGTTTGGAACGAGGGTGACGCGCTTGGAATAGATGGCCCACAGTGAGACGGGATGGAATTCGATTTTGAAATTTGTGTAGGGAAAGCGCTTTTTGCAGGCAATCGTAGCTAATTTTGATCACCATTGTAACAGTTGGACAGTTGTGTATTTTTGAATAGTGTTCTATCGGAAATTAATAAACTGTTCGTTTTAGCAGATTCATAGAAACATTTCCAATCGATTGGCTTGTTTTGAATTAAAATCCATTCGATATTGACAGAGTGTTCTCGCAGGTGACTACTACTGCCTCTACCCTTAACATAAAGTAGCTGCTGTACCTACCCATAGATGTCACCACTTGTCATTGCTTGTTTTGTAGTTTCCTTGTTATGTTACAATAAATAAACGTTTATAGTTCTCATACCTCCGTCATGGCAGGACGGCCAATTAATAGTTCTCGTTTAAATTAATTATCACACAACGTACAAATCGGGTCCTACCCGTGCACGATCACAGAGTTATATGTGGTCAAAACCTGATCACTTTTAGTAATGCAGTTGCCAAAAGACATAATCCTTCGTCAAAAAAATTTAAAATTTTATTTTTGTATGGTGTATTTTGTTTAAAGCGTACATCTCTTTTTTTTTTAAATAGTCCCAGCCATTACCTACAACATTACTGAAGGCGCGAAAGCGATTGAACAAACCATTTTCGAGTATCAGTTTTCCGAAAATAAGATTAATGTTTTCTATAGGCCCTTTTTAAAAATAAGGCTTGATTCAAAATTGCGATTTAAAGATGAAAATGTTTCAAATGTTACGCGTGCCATACCACAGTTGGTGATTTTTTTTAATGAACAATAAAGTTCACATACAAGGAACGTGTTCGTGGGTGCAGAAATGGGTTTAATATTTCAATCAATGATTGTGATTGTAATTGTGATTGTGGTAATGATTATTAAAGAAGTTTAATGTGACACCCGCTATAGCCCCTATATTGGCAGATATGTCACTGATTGATTTTATAGTAAAAATTCTCTTATTATACTGCAGAAAATGTATCTGAAGCTACTAATTATTCTTCTTGAATTTGACGCTCAAACACGAGCCATGCTCTCAAATTAGTGTTCTTGAAGTACTTCTACAGAGAGCTTTCTCTGCCAACCAATGCATGCATTTGTATTCTGTATGCCCAAGGAGGCCGAGAAAATGTCCAACACGAAAGATTTTCTAGACCAGACCAAGAATCGAATCAGCCACCTCCAGCTTGGTACTGCCGTGCCTTTACTGACTAGCCTTCTATCGACTAGTTCTAAATAACATGCACTTCCACAGTTATCAATTGATAGCTTTCGATGCCTGTACCATTTTTGTATTAATATTGTGTGGCAAGTACAATGATACCCTATGTCCAGGGAAGTCGATAAATTTAAAATTAACTATTACCACGATGGAATAGGCTGTGTTAGTATCTTTTTCAAATTTCAAATACTGTCCTATTTGGGGTTGGTGATTTCAGTAAATTTTATATTTTATTTATGATCTACAAAGTAAGATATTTTTAAACTTTCTCGGATTTTGGAATGATTTAAGCTCATACATCTTTGAAAGTCACTCTCGTCCAAGCAAATTTGTTTCGTAGATGCTTTTTTAAAACATTCATGATGAGGTTTGATACTTGTATATAAGTTCTGGAACTTCCTGTAAGAAGAATATCAGAAGAAATTTGAAGGTTTAAAAAAATCCAAATTCAGCAATGATAGTTTTATGTCTCAAGTGAAGACGTTACGCACGTGCACAATCATAACATTGAATCAACAAATTACAGCAATCAATGGACCATAAATCATACCGCAGATCAGTTCTTTCTACTGGACCTTTCCCTCCCAGCAATTCTCCCTCATCAAAGCGTACATCACCAACCTCTCTCTTTCAGTTTGATAAAAAAATGACACGGAAGGAAACTGTGCGACAAGAAGCTGACAAATTAATCGCCGCTGAAAACAATTTCATTCAAAACGATAACATTATCATGGCCATCCTGAAGCCCGACACCGACCGAGAGTGGGGCTGGAAGGGGAGCCCTAGCTTCCATAAAGTGGTTCGTCGTCGTCGTTGTCGTCGTCCACTCGCCTGAGTTCCTCTATATTGGAAAGGACTTGTTAGTAACGAACTGACACCAACCAACGACCAGCGATGAGATGACGCACGGAGAAGTGAAATACAGGGAAACCATTAATAATCGAGTTTGCAGCGAGAAGGAAGACGTTGGCGGTGGCGTAAAATGAGAAAATGTTAAGTCAATGAGTTATGAGTCTCAAAGGGACGACGGTATTAATCAGCGGAAGATGTGCTTTCACCAGCAGCGGTGAGTGAGGCAATCGTTGTTGAGGTTGAAGGCCGTAGGAAAATTTTCCAACAGAGGGCAGCAGTTTCCTGGAGGCTGCTTGCACTAGTTGCTGGTTGAGCTGGCCGATGAAAGGAAGCGTAAAAATGCTACACTGCTAATTAATAAGGATTACACTAATTAGAGCGAACATCGTCGGATGGAAGACGGCGGCAGTAAATAAGGTTGAACTTGTCAAGGGAAATATGGGTTACGGGGAATTTCACTGTGACGGAAATTCCAAACAAATCTGTTGAGTATTTTGGCACGCATTTTAATTGGATCATTGTTGGTTTCTATCCCACGTAGCTACACCCATCCGGTAAATGTGAGATTCTTTTATAGATTTGCATGCAATGTTTCGTGACATGAACTAAGTATTTAAAGTGGCCACTGGATGATTTTTTAGATAGTTTTTAAAGTTTTATGTCAGCTTATTTTCTAACAAAGTTTGTTTCCCCAAATACATTGCGTCGAGGAAATCATCTCCTGAGGTTGTATACAAAAATATGCATTTTGGAAAAAAAAACATGCTTGTACGCTGCAAGAACTGTCATTACATTTGTAGTATGAATCATATGCAAAAGATATAATAAATCGAACCTTACATTGGATTTAAGAGAAATTTGATTTGCTTCCGTTGCTTCTGATTTTGATTTAAATTGAAATTTTAATTTTCATTCGAATTTTTAAAACATTTTGATTTAATCTTGAAATGAAAAATTAAACGTTTGACAAGGAAAGTTCTCCGAAATACTTCTGATGAAATTCAATAAATTGTCCCCTTTTTATTTATCCATCAAACCCTTTCAACCAACTTGATCGGAATACCGTCATCCGGCCGAATAACCAGATCGGTCTTGAATCGCAGCTTGTCCATCGAATCGCCCGGTAGTACTTTGTAACAGGCCAGCAGTTTGATGATCGTAACTTTCAACTCCATCATGGCGTATCGCTGGCCGATGCAGTTCCTAGATCCGGCACTGAATGGGATGAAATCGTACGGACCTCGTTTGCTCTCGTTCGTCTTGGAGAATCGCTCCGGAATGAACTCGTCCGGGTTGGGCCAAATTTTCGGATTACGGTGAATGTTGTAAATCTTGATGGAGATGGTCGTCCCCGCTGGAATGGTGATGCCATCTGAAAAAAAGCACCAAAGTCAAACACCTGTGAGGGGAAAAATTGTCCAAAGACTTACTCATTTCCATATCTTCAACCAGGGTGCGTCCGATGATGGGAACTGGAGGAATCAACCGCAAGGACTCCTTGACGACCATGTCCAGATATTCCAACTCCTGAATCTGTAGGTTTGTCAGCTGAGCGCTTACCTTATTCTTGCCCAAAATCCGATCGATTTCCTCGTACAACTTTTGCTGAACGTCTTGGTACTTGGCCAAATGCCACAGCGTAAACGAAATACCCGAGGTTGTCGTATCGTGCCCTTCAAACATGAACGTATCCACTTCTTCGCGAATGTCTTCCCGGCTCAGGGGCTTCCCATCGACGGTAACATTCAGCAGCAGATCCAGAAAGGTCATTTTTCGCTTGGAGTACATGTCCTCCTCTTGAAGATCGAAAGATACCTTCTGATTGGCCTTTTCGTTTTCCAGCATTTTCCTTCTCGCGTCAATCACAGTGTTGGTAAAATTATGCAGCTTCAAAATGACTTTCTTCTGCTCCTTGGCAAATGGATACAGGAAGAATAGTGACGGAAAGGAGCGAAGAATGCTGAAAATTCTTCGCAAGATGAACGTGCTCATCTGTTTGACGGCCGTGGCGTACTCGTTCTCTGGGTCGTCCTGCGCGTTGATCTGCACACCCATTGAGGTTTCTACAACACAAAGAGGCTCAGTTGCACAAAGTATTCTCTTACCGTGTAAATTGAATCTCACCGCATATACTATCCAACGCATACAGTGTCACATAGTCGTATATGTTGAACTCCTCCTTTCCGGCTTTGCTCTTCAATTTGGACACCAAAATATCTGCCTCCTTGTTGAACACATCCAAGAACCCTTCCAGCATCTTGAAATGGAACGTAGGAGTGATGATCTTCCTCCGCTGGAACCATTTCTCTCCAGTGGAAATGAGCAATCCAGTACCCAGCCAGGGTTCCAAAAAGTCATACGCAAACGACTTCTTGATCGATTTCGCCAACAGCACCTTCTCTACGTTCTTCGAGCTGGACAGATCCAGTACCAATTCGTTAAAGGCCGCCATGATAGCAATGTCCTCACCATGGATCTTGTGCAAGTCTGTTATGATGTCCCAAATGTCTGCAAGCCACCAATCGGCAAGATAACGATTAGATTAACGACCAGCTCTTCGAATTTCTACAACTCACCCGGAATACTTTTGCCGATGAACATGGGGAACGTTCCCCAAAAATAGTGCGCATCCGGTCCATCGAAATGTGATTTAATTTGCAACAGTTTCTGCCTTTGGCGATGGTAGTTGAACAGGAAGTAACCAACGGTGGCGAGTATTAGCGTCAAGATGAGCAACATTTTGGAACGGCCAAATCAGTACGCGGTCGCTTATCAACTAAAAAAAAGTTCACCTAAGTACAGTCAATGTAATGTTTTGCCGTGGAGAATCGTTCCGCGGAGAGTATGCTGCTCTCCGGCCCGTAATCAGCTGCATTGATAACGGGTATTATATATGGTACCGTGCTACAAGCGTCAAGATAAAACCTAGCTGGAAGCCAACAATCGGGTTTTGGGAACTTAATTTTTTAGAACATTCGCTCGGTGTTTTGATCAGTATGGATGAAGATTGTATTTGGACAGTGACATCCGAAGTCCAGAACGATGTGATGAGTCACGATGATAGCGTGAAAAGTTCGCGAGTCATAGTGATTTTTTGCGAACTTTTCCATCACTGAGCATGACAGATTATTTAAATGTTTGTCGTCATCGAGTGAAAATCCAGAATAGTCAATAATGGACATAACAGTACAGGACATAAAAAGATACGCCATGATTGTTTTGTGTTTGCATGCAAGTTCACAGAGCTGTTGCATTTCAGCTGGTTGATAAAGTATTTAAGTTATATCAGTTTAAATCATGGCTTGATTGGTGAAGTTTGCATGAAGTTTTTTTTTATCTAGTTCGTTTATTTGGAAGGCTCAATCACGTTAGCTTTACGGAGCCGAAAGTTCATTGTTCTTGGTTTGTAACAAAATTCACTTAATTCTATGTCTAGTAGGAGTTGGGCCGAATGCTCGCGGCTTACTCGAGGTTAGAGAGATACATTGTCGAATGATAGGATCAGGGGAGGAACTTGGGGGTAAGGTTTCGTTGTCTCATCAGAGCGTTGTCGCCAGTATGAACGGTAGTGCGGTTCTAGTTTCGTATGGAGTTCGACCGGCTATGGTGACCAGTGGGCGACGATGAGACTCATCGAGACGGGTGGACAAGACAAACAAAAACTAATAAAGAGAGACAAAAGACAAAGGAAATAAATTCTTATACTAGACATTTGAAGAAACATATAAACCGACTGCATATAGCAGATATCGCGAGTTTCCAACACGTCTCTGATAGGAACATAGGTTGGTCTTCCTTGGGCCTCAAGGGTATTCAAAAGTCTCTCTCTGGCGGCGTCATTATCCGTACATTTCCAAACTGCGTGATCGATGTCATCGTAACCGTTTCCACACCGACAGATGTTGCTGTCCACGAGGTTTTCATTGAGATGAGCATCTAGCGAGTAGTGGTTGGACATAAGTCTACTCATCACGTGAATGAAGTCACGACATAAGTTCAAGCCTTTAAACCACGCTCTCGAAGAAACATATTGAATGTAACCACCGTCCAAGATTTCCATTGTCCCAATCGGTTTGCCAACTCGAAAGGGTACTCTGACGCACTACATGTTAAAATTCATCGTGTGAAATTTGCCTGTCATAAAATTCGCCTTCCTGCGCGCCCCCCTTTGCGAGAGAGTCCGCCTTCTCATTGCTTGGGATTGAGCAATGTGAGGGGACCCATACAAAGGTAATCATATGATCTTTCGACCAGCACACTCATCTGCTCCCTTACTTTTGAAAGGAAATAAGATGAGTGCCTACCTTGTTTCATGTTGAAAATCATCCCCAATGCGAAGTTGATTGCTGCCAGCTCAGCAATAAAAACGGAACAAGGTTCCTGGAGTTTGCGGAGGCGCTAGAGCTTTCATTGAAGACACCGAAGCCATTGGATCCATTGAGACGAGACCCGTCTGTAAAATATCTGTTCGCGCAATTGACGTGTTGGTACTTTTCAGTAAAAATACGTGGGATAATAATAGGTCGAAGTTGATCGAGAATCCCATGAGTTGCTTGTTTCATGGTCAGATCATATTCAATTGAGGAACGGCGATTAGTGAAGTGAGCATGGTCTGGAGTGTAACAAGGAAGACACATATCTGACGATATGTAGTGGTGGTAGATTCTCATAAATCGAGATTGTGTGTTCAGCCCAAGAATTTCTTCAAAATTTTCAATTATAAGTGTGTTTGTCACTCCGCATTTGATTAGTATTCTGAGAGAGAGCTCCCAGAAACGGTTCTGGAGCGGTGTTACTCCTGCCAGAACCTCGAGACTCATGTTATGCGTTGAGTGCATACAGCCAAGAGCAATACGCAGACAACGATATTGAATTCATTCCAATTTTATTAGGTGACATTTTCTTGCCGAGAAAAAGCAGAAAGAGCTAAAACAGAGATAATTGTTGTTTTATAAAGGGTTATGAGGTCTCCTGGATGAGCACCTCACCATGTGCCGCAAGTTGAACGGAGAAAGTTGATCCTCTGTTGACATTTTTGCTTCAAATACGTAATGTGGATATTCCAAGTGCACATTGAATCAAATCAGACCCCACGGTACTTGAAGGGCAATGATTGAGTAATGTTTCAGTCCAAAAGTTTAAGCTGTATTTGGGCTGGGTACCGCTTTTGAGTAAACACTACCAGTTCAGTTTTCTGCGGCGATAATTCGATCCCTAGATTCCTAGCCCAAGAAGACAAGTTATCTAAGGAACTTTGCAATGGTCCTTGCAACTCCCCCCCCCCCCCCCCCATATGGAAACCACACCGTCGTCTGCAAGGTTTCTTAGCGTGCATTGTTCTACCAAACAGTTGTCTATATTTTTGACACACAAATTATAAAGAAGAGGGCTGAGACATGAGCCTTGGGGCAGGCCCTTGTAACTAATTCTGGAAGTTGTCAGTTGTCCAAGGGAAAAGTTCATTTGCTTTTCTGACAACAAATTATACAAAAAATTATTTAAAATTCCAGAAAGTCCACATCTGTGCAGATTGTCTGACAGAATTTCAATGGAAACTGACTCAAAAGCCCCCTTAATGTCCAAGAATACTGAAGCTAGTCAATCGTTTGTTCCTTTGCTCTTGCGGAATCCAAACTGTGTATTTGATAGCAAGTTATTTGTTTCGACCCACTGATCGAGTCTCCGAAGGATCATTTTCTCCAACAATTTCCTAATGCACGAAAAAATCGCAATCGAACGGTATGAATTATGGTCGGACGCTGGTTTGCCAGGTTTTCGAATGGCTATTACTTTGACCTGTCTCCATTCAGGCGGTATAATGTTATTTTCTAATAAGGAATTGAATAAGTCTAGCAAGCGTCTTTCAGCGATGTCTGGGAGATTTTTCAGAAGGTTGAATTTAATCATATCGCTTCCCGGTGAGGAGTTGTTCGATGAAAGAAAAGCCATAGAGAATTCCAGCAGAGAGCTGCCGTTTGGAGACGCTTCTCGAAGAATGTGTTGTGCTGGAACTGAGTCCGGACCGACCTTTTAAGCGAAATCGAATATCCAGCGGTTGGAGTATCCTTCACTCTCATTAGAAGATGAGCGGTTACGCATGTTGCGAGCCACCCTCCACAAGGTGTTCATTGAGGTTTCTCGTGAGAGTCTCTTGACGAAATTCCGCCAATAACCACGTTTCTTTTCTTTGACTAATTGTTTCAGCTTTGTCTCAAGCTTTGAATATTCCTCGAAGTATGTGGAGGTTTTGTGTCTACGAAAAGCTTTGAAGGCATCAGATTTTTCTACATACAATTTTGTGCATTCTTCGTCCCATCCAGGTGTGGCTGGTCTCCTTTTGAAGGGCGCATTTGGAACTTTTCGTTTTTGTGCTTTCAGTGAGCTTTTGTATATCAAATCGGCGAGGAATCTATATGCTTCCAATGGTGGAAGCGTATCTATTGATTCGGCACCGATTGTCACCGCCGTTGCATATTTCTGTCAATCTATGTTCCTTGTACGATCAAATAGAACTCGAGATGGTTCTGCAGAGTGAGGGGCACACTTAATTGAAATGATGATTGACAAATGATCGCTACCATGGGGATCATTGATAACCTTCCACAGACAATCCAATGATAGCAATCTTGAACACAAAGATAGGTCGAGTTGGCTTTCTCGAGCCGGAGGTTTTGCTATACGTGTCGCTTCACCAGTGTTCAAAATAGACAAGTTGAAATCGTCGCATAAATCGTAAAAAATATCCGCTCTATTGTCATCATATAGATCGCCCCACCCAGTACCATGGGAGTTCATATCACCCAGAATTAATACTGGGGATGGAAGAATCGAAACTAGATTCCAGAGTTGACTACGACTAATGGAGGTTCTTGGTGGAACACAAACTGAAGCTATGCAAAGGTCTTTGTTCTTCACATTTATTTGGCAAGCGACGATTTCGACGCCTGATAGAGTAGGAAGGGAAATTTTGTAGAAAGGGTAGCACTTTTTGATCCCTAAAAGTACTCCTCCATTAGAATCGTCTATATGCAGGCGTATGTCAGTTGGTACAATTATAAACCCTCTGTACAAACAACCGCACCGGAAAAAAAGCACCATCAACTTTGCCAAAGTTTGGGAGAACTGAACCAGCGAAAGTCACCCGAAACGAGTCTGAATGCTGATAAACTTTCTTGCCATCTTGTAAAGAGACTGAATTCAGTTGACTAACATCCAGCAAGTCTCTCGAAATGTCTAGAGTTTTCAAAGGTTTATTTTAAGGCCGAAAAAAGACAACCCATGGTCCTTTCGAAAGTGGTTGGTAATACCTGGTTCGCGCAACGTTGGCATCGGAAGATGCCATTAGTATTGCGCAAAAGCGGTGCGCAACCACTTGAGAAGGAAAAAAATAAAAACCTTCTCCAATTGATTAATTGTAATTACTAGTAATTCAATATTTTGCACGGCTTGCAAGCAAATTAATGAGAAAAAAAAATCGAAAAATAAACTTATATCTAGTTGCAACAAGTTGTCTCACTATGAAACATACTCCCTTACCAGGGGTGAGAGACAGAGCCACGCGCCACGAGGCAAAACAAAACTACAATAGGGAGGCAATGGACTTGCAAAATGTATTGTCTAATACTTATGCCGGTTGTGTAGACAACCTATCAGCCGGTGCAGCTAGGTATTCCGTTTGCTGCTAATACGATGCGGCTATTGACGGATGATGATTATGATGATCGATCACTGGGATAAAGATGGACAGTCTATACGTAAGACTCAGCTTACGA